TGTTTTCACATCTCTTACTTTGGGAAACATGCGGGAAGGGAAATGAAAGATTTCATGGCCATGAATTAAGAATTTGTTCGATTTATTAATTTGTTCCCTCATTTTAGTTAAATCATGGGTTATTTAAGGAACAAAATTAATGAAACATGGACAGTGGCCACAAATTAATAAGTCGTAGGAGCGAATTAACAAGTTGTAGGAATGAATAGCCTATCTGTCCTGTGTCCCACAGCCCTGCAAAGCGCATGAAATAATTATCTGGGGAAATGGCTTAGTTACTACATTTCTATTGCTTTCCATGTTGAAGAACTTTGTGTTGTTTCTATTTTAATGTACTTTTAAAGTTTAAATCACATTAAAAGCTTAATTTGTACATTATGAATGAATGATGATGCATTTATATACCGTCACTCACAGCCGCTCGCACGTGTTTTGCGCATGAGCCGCACGCAGCCCAAAATTAAACGACTTAATCGACCATGATAGCTTTAATCGACTGCACCTCTTATCGACAATTAATCGATCATCGATTAATCGTTGACATCCCTAGTACTAATGGTACTGTAAAAAGACCCCCCCCACACTACCACCAAAAACACTTTCTCATTGGATCTACACAAATCTCATAGGTGACCTATTTTGATCTCAAAAAGGTGAGTTTTCACCGAAAGGTGAGGAGTTTGCATCTATGTATCTTACTGGGCTTATATATAAAGAGCCTGTAGGGTCAGTGCCATTAGTGGAGCACAGCCTGTTTAAGCCCGGGGCATCTGCAGTACCCTAACGGAGCAAAGTGCATTCGGGACCACATGATACGATCCTGTCTTTTTGTTGAAATACAGCACAAAATAGACAACCTAGTGATTTACTGTCAATGTCAAGCATGGAGACATTTGCTATAAAGAGCAACAGTAGTTCCTTTGGGAAAAGATGCTGCTTACAACGCTGACTTATTGAGTAACTAAGTGAAAAAAGAAATTAAGCTCTTTTTTTGAGTCATTTCTTTATCTGCAGGGAACACAAACAGATGTAGCGAAATGGAAACAATGTCTCTAAGTGAGTGAGAAAACTAAAAATAGCACATGGTGGACAATAGCACATCAATGACTGGAGGCTCAGAGTCATCACAGCACATCGACTCACAGCAATATTAATCCAAACAGCTCTGAGATCTGTGTTCACATTGGGGCTGATCCCGGTACAGTCTGTAAGTGTGACTAGTTCTAGATTCCACACGTTGCTCTTTGTTGAATGAAGAAACAAAGCAATTTAACGCTAGTATGGAGGAAAAATGCCTGCCACGGCATACAAAGCATGTCAGAGTTGTCTGCTACATAATTGCCATTTTTGGTCTCGTTCAGCTTCCCACCTCAGCCTGTGGTTCCCATAACTAACGCCCCTATAATGGTCAGAACAGCCTGCTGTAATGACCTATAAATGGCACTGAGGAAAACAAAGATGAGGTCAGTAACTTAAAACATCTAATAACACTGCACAATGATAATAAAGAGCTTAAGCTGCTATATAAAGTTAACAAGCAGCTGTGTTTTGAATAATTACAGGGATACTTAACCCATTAATTCCCTTTTTTTCCCTCAGAAAATAACTTAATTACATATTTGCATATCATAATATGAACAAGCAGTGCATTTTACTTGCAAATTTAACGTGTATTTTTTTCCACATAAAAAAAACACTTTAACAGCCATATCAGCCATATCACCCTGCAGCCCAAGACTGGTCGCCCACTGAAGCTAAGCAGGGATGAGCCTGGTCAGTACCTGGATGGGAGACCTATTGGGAAAAACTAGGTTGCTGTTGGAAGAGGTGTTAGTGACGCCAGTAGGGGGTGCTCACCCTGTGGTCTGTGTGGGTCCTAACGCCCCAGTATAGTGACGGGGACACTATACTGTTAAAAAGCACCATCTTTCGAATGAGACATTAAACCGAGGTCCTGACTAGGGATGTAACGATTCACTCAAGTCACGATTCGATTCTATTCACGATTTTGATTTCACGGTTCATCGTCACATATTTGAATCGATTTTCAACCGGCTCGCAGTTAATCGTTACATCCCTAGTCCTGACTCTCTGTGGTCATTAAAAAATCCCATGCCACTTCTCATAAAAGAGTAGGGGTGTAACCCTGGTGTCCTGGCCAAATTCCCTCCACTGGCCCTTGTCAATCATGGCCTCCTAATA